ACATGGGTCACGTGAAGATTGACTCCGTGCAATGCCATCAAACGACCGTCATCAATGCCTACTGATCGGCCAACCTTAAAATGATAGATTGTTGGAACGAAAAGCTGTGGACCGGTGCTCACAACTGCTCAGTGATAAGACTCTGTCGCCTTATGCTTTACCTATATCAAGGGAAACATCAGCAGCCTTCTAGCCAAGCTAGAATCAAAAAAAGGTGCTGAAAATGCTTATCTGACACTACACTTTTAAAATGATCCTAATATTACATATAGGAATGGAATTCGTTTAGTTTTTCATAAGAAAAGTGCTATAAATAGCTGTACAGGATACCTCAAAATTATGGGAGCCTATTCATGGCGATTATTTGACGCTGCTGAGATAATAATGACAATGGAATCTATGCATGCGCATGTATGCATACATTATGTACAACAACAAGCTACAATGACATTCGAAAATTAGATCTCAAGGATAGAGGCTCGAAGTCTGTTCTCAAACTCTTCGCGTGTTGCACGCAGGTATCCCTCCTCCATTTCTTTCCAACCGTTATCGAGTCTTGCTTTCAAGGACTTCAAACTAGCATTGCAAAGCATACAGGTTCTTTTCTAAACAGGGACCATACGGATACGGAGGATTCGAATTAGTTAAGATGTAGAGATCGGTCTGGCAGCCGGCGTCGGCAGCACTCAGTGACGAGTTTGGTTTTCAGGGCTGCTGGAAGGACCACAGTCTTTTCAAGTGGTGAAGTTGGATCACTGCTTCAGTACGACTATTAGTATGCTCCTAGAGTCCACGTCTTTGTTAATTTTCACAGCGGTACCGACGAGTCAACCGGCTCCTTGCCATTGCCGGCAACTTCGTCGCTAAATCATCACTTCGTTGTTCGTATAAAAATCTTTTTCGTGAGAGATAGCGTTTTTGATTTTCTTACCGGAACGCGATCGTTCTATTTGTTGAAGATTGCTTTTGCTGTGCAAACAATTCTTGTCAAGGGGAACGATGCAGGGATCCGTATCTCAACTTGAGCGAGTCAGCAACCTTCTCCACTTTCCATTCAACACTGTCTGTTGCTGAAATGAATTGCCATCTCTGCATTCCATAAAGATGGCAATGAGGCTTCTGCTTGACAATCTGCTCTCCCGACAGCCTTGACAGAGTCCTGATCTTCACCTTTCTTTGATTGGTCACCCAGGATCACGATAGACTCGCAAACTATAGTACTCGGACTATTATAATAGTCCTATCTTTGAGGACACCGGATATTCTACTCCTTCGGGCCTTGTTTGGTTGTCTCTGCTTCCATGTATCATTTGAGAGCCTTCTGCACTGTCAGTATTGTAATCCGAATAGTTTTACTACGCGCTTGCATGCAAGTGATTGCGTGTCGCATTGAATGAGCCTTCACTTTCTGAAAGATATCGGAGGTCTCGCCTCAGTGACAGTGCATATTGCAAAAAAAAACCTACATATGGAACCAATTATGAAGTGGAATTAATAAACTATTTCTGCCTTAGAAGTTCCGAATTTCGCCTCCTATAATTTGGAGACACACTGTAATATATTCCGACTGAAAAGGGCACAAAATATCCTGCTCATATCGATAATCTGTTGACCCAAAAGTTACGGCTTTCCCGGGTGCTCCCGAATCCTTTGACAAATGCATTATATAGGAAAGTGTGCTCTGACCTCGATAAGCATGTCAAAAAATTTGTGGAAAATCGTGACAATCGGCTGTCGGCTAAGGCTAATTCTATGCATTATTTCAGCCTAGTCAGGCGAAGAGTTAAAACCTCTCTAGAGCTACCCGCACTCTCGGATTGCTTCGGCTCTCTCTTTGTTACCGATGAGGAGAAAGCTGAAGCTTTAGGTACCTACTTTGCTAGTGTTTTTTCCACAGATAACTCTGAGGATGAAGTTAGGACTAGTAATCAGTTCCGGATCAATCATTCCTTGTCTTGGATTTCCTTTCATCCTCAAGAGGTTTTCAGTGTACTCACTAAGCTTAAGCCATCCATGGTTGAACCGTATGATGGCATCCCCCAGATACTCTTCCGTAAGTGTGCTCGTTCATTATGCAAACCATTAGCACACATTTTCAACATTTCTTTGCTTCTCGGAGAAGTACCTGATATCTGGAAAGAATCCATAGTTTCAGCCATTCTTAAGAAGTCCGACAGCCGACTCCTATCTGATTTCCGCCCTATTAGCAATTTACCCACTGCTGCCAAGGTCATGGAAGCCTTGGTTAGAGAAAAGATTTGAGCCTGGCTCAATAGGTTCAAGGTAGTTTCAGTAGAGCAGCATGGGTTCTTAAGTGGTGCTTCTACAGCTTCTAATCTTCTTGACACTTTCTTCGATTGGACTGTTGCCTTAAATAACGAGGAAGCAGTGGATATTGTATTCATTGATCTTTCTAAAGCCTTTGACAAGGTCAGTCACTCCAGGCTTCTATCAAGACTACATGATCTTGGCATCAGTGGGCAGCTGCTAAGTTGGTTTAGATCTTACTTAAGCGATAGACATATGACGATAAAAGNCTCCGGTTAATCTCGTTGCCTCAAAAGTTCCATCCACAGTCTTTCGGATGCAAATTCTTCTTTTTGTCCTGCGATCATGCATCCTGGTTCAGGATTCTCTTGACTGAAGCGTGTCGCCGTTTTTCTTCCAATAACTTTGTCTCTCGAATTTGACTTCCTTTCTGTGTCTCCCTATGGGTTGCTTTCACCTCTTTTCTTTTTCCTTCTTGAATGTTGTTTTTTTTTCTTTCTTCTTTTTTGCTATTGATCTGATAGTCCGTCGCCACCATTGCTGAGTCTGCCATATCTAAGTTTCTAATTTGGTCATTGTCCGACCCAACAGTTCACATCTCGCCGTTCAGCCAGTAGCATACAAGTCGGTTCCACGAGAGAAGTTGGCCTACCCGTGTGCCGAAGTTCCGACTTGATCCCATGACTCCTTATGGAATGAGGGCACCTTGGCCAACTGGTGCGGTTACTGGCTATGAGGGCATCTTTGTTGAACACACTTCCATTGCAGCTCTGGAGATCGGTATTTTTGTCCTCTCTCTTCCTAATCTCACTTGTTTACTGTGGCGACGGGTGGTTTATTTGCTACTATGCAGTTGTGGCGCACTCAGTTGAGTGTATAAATAAATAAATAAATAAATACTGAAAAGGTCCTAAAACAGATGTTCAAAAAACTAGCTTCCAGAAAACGCAATTACTTTCCGACCACCCAGTATATACAACGGAATCTCAATCCAACCACAACTCAACTCGCAAAATCTGATATGACCTGAAGAAACACGTGAAGGGGTTAGAGCAAGTTCGGAATGAGAACAGAGCACAAGTGAGCTTAGCGGAGCCCCGCCCCTAAAATACGCAGCACTTGGGCGGTGCCATTAGCGGAACTATCTAATTTGGTCTCTTAACAGTTCAGACGTCTAGCAAACAAGCAAGGGTCGGGGATGGGTCAACAAATGGAAGGAAGGAGACTCACCGTCGGTAGGCGGAGCGTTTTCGTAATGAGCGGCGTTTTCCACATATGTTCATAACTCGATTCAATGGAGGCGTGGGGGCCAAAAAAATCAAAAGAATTAAGCAAGGCCTCATGCATGTTTAGCAAGATAGGCGGAGAAAATAGAAGGTTACTTTTGGAAAATAAATATAATTTTGTTCGAAATGTTGTAGAACGCGGGAAAATGTTATTAGAGGTAATAGAAGAAATGTGGTCAAACCACGGAAGTGCACAGAGTTTCCCTGAGGTAGGCGGGTTGATATCAAAAATTCGTTTACCTATTTAGAAACGTTCTAGAGTGCGAGAAAAGACGAGACTAGGTACTTTAATGAGCGCTAGATGGCAACTAACATGCACACCGCAGAATGATGTTTACAGTGACTAAGAGTATGAATGTATGGACAATGTGCATAGTTTAGAACAAGGTAAGCCAATGATAGTTAGCATACGACCGTTGAGCGGTCTTCCACAACGCCTCCCCTCTAAGATGAAATGTGGGAATGAAAAACAGAAAATAGCGACGACATTCATCTGATAATAAATGTTCATCCTCCCATGTGTGAGACTTGAGGCTTGGCTTGACTTGAAGTCGTCTCGGCGGTCGGCGAATAACCGCTGTCGTCGTTCTTCTGGGCTGATTTGATGATAGAGCAGTTGCGTTCGAAATGTCGTTTTCCAATACTGACGAGCTTTTATTGGAAACAGGCGTGGCGGTTTGATTCGGCACCGTTGGGTTTGCCCAATGTGGCGCATTCATCGATGAATCAAAAGTATCCAATAGTGTATCTTGTGCTTCTTTGGGTATGCGGTGACGCATATGATTTGCATGACGGCGCTTTGATCTGCACATCATATTCCGCTTTCTCATGACGAGATAGAACTTTTGCGGGGATCCAGTTTCTTATTCCTCTCCGAAAATTCATAATCCAGACAGCATTTTCTGGTTAGAAAGATTTCGGACGGGTGCGTTATGGCGGTTGAACTGTTCTTCCATTTTCTTGTCCCCTTCCGCAGTTACGTGCCGAGGCATAGTAAGCAGAGTTAGTGGTGTACGAAGTGATCCTGATGTCCTAGGAAGTTTTCAGCTGGTGATCACCCTTCAAGAGAGGATTTTCACGGGGTGCTCTGATAAGATAAAAACGTTCTTGCACAGCTTCCTTCGCCGTTTCGAAGCTTTTCAGCTTTCCTCCAGGCTTTTTCAGCTGACTTTCGTTATCAGATACCAGAGTTTCCGGGTCTCCAAACTGTGCAAACAGCCTGCTGAGTACCCATATGGTAGCTTTGATTCAGGTTGAAGACCTCTCAGTGACTTCCGGCCATCTTGAGTAGGCATCCACAATTATGAGAAACATTTTTTTATGTAATGGTCCAGCAAAATCCACATGGCTACGTAACAATGGTTCCTCTTCTTCCAGCCACGTGAAGAGTTCCGTTCTGACTGGTGCTTTGCAACTTCTTGACAGCTAACATTTTCTAACAAAATTTCAGCAGTCCTTTGTGATGTTTGTCCAGTATACACAAGATCGAGCGAGGTTCTTCATCTTTAACATGCACGGACGTTCTTCGTGCAACAAGGCAAACACGCGATTGGGGAATTTGACGGGATCATGATACTTGGTCCGAAGAAAAGCCAGTCGCCGTGGAGCGAGAGAAAACGACAAAGTGTGAATTAACTTCTTATTTGTCGGCCATTTGTCTTCGCGAACGCACTGAATTACATCCTCCAGTGTTTCGTCTTTAACACTCTCTTCTGATCAGATTCCTATCGATGGAAACATGTGCTTTCACACCCTTACTTTCGAGCTCAGCCTGATGTAGAGCGGCTGCAATGACGATGTATTCGGCTTGTTCCGCTTGCTCCGCAATCAGAGGTGACAAGGCATCAGCTCGTCCAAAGTCTGTAGTTTTCCTGTACTCAATTTTGAAGTCTTATCCTCGGAGTGTCAATGACCATCGCGAGACGATCGGCTGTGTAGGATGGTAAGACACTCTTGCTTCCAAATATTGATAGTTAGGTTTATGGTCTGTAAGAAGGGTATATTGGCGTCCTAACAAAATCTATGAAACCTGCGGACTGCGTGAACCAATGCAAAACTCTCTTTTTCGATTTGACCATAATTCGATCAGACCATAATTCTTTCCTGCTGCTGTGAGGTTTTGGTTGGCATGGCTAATTGCCTTCTGTGAACCAACTGGGAAGCGGTGAAGGATGACGGCTCCAATGCCATAGCCGGAAGCATCAGCTGCGACAATCAGGTCTGACCTTGGGGTCATAGTGTGTGAGCAGGACTGGAGAGGTCAGCATTCTCTTGGCTTTTCTGGAAGCAGTTTGGCATTCCCCTTAAAGACCACTTTAGAGGTCCATCCTTCAACACGCATCGAGTGGGGCACGAAATTGCCGCATTTTCGAAATGAATGATCCTTAGTAGTTCAGCATTCCAAGAAAAAAAGCGGAGCTATGCGACAAAACCGGGTCGTGGCCTTTTTGTGATGGCTTGAATCTTCTCAGGATCCGGACGTCGGCAGCCTGCGACGATTATGTTTTCAAGATAATGTATCTCTGAAATTATAAAATGACATTTTTCTTCGCGCACACGGAACCCATGCCATTCAATTCGACAAAGAAGAGCTCCGAGATTGTGGCGGTGCTCCTTTGTAGTTTGTCCCGAAATGATAATAATTATGTCCTCTCGATACGCTGCTACTTTGTCAAGTCCTGCTATCATAGAGTCGATGATTTGTTGAAATATACGTGCAGCATACTTCACCTCAAATAGTAGAAGATTGTAGCGGAAAAGGCCACGATGGGTATTGACTGTGAGCAATTCTATTTAGTCTTCATCTACTTCAATGTGCAGGTATGCATCTGTTAGGTCGATCTGCGAGAAAAGCTGAAAACAGATGAGTTTCGTGAAGAATCTTCCGTTGTCGGCGAAGGATGTTGATGGAGTGGAAGAGAACCGTTCAGTCCAGTCGGAAAATCTCCACATGGTCAGTTCTGTCACTGCTTTTCTTCACAACAACTAGTGGTGCTGCCCAGTCTGAATGATCAGCTGCTGTCAAAACTCTTTCTCAAAGTAAGCGGTCGATTTCTGTGTTAACGGCTGGCTGAGAGGCAAATGGCACAGGTCGCTTTCTACGGTGCACTGGTTAAGCACCCGATTTCAGGAGCGGTTTCGCCTTAGTTTTAGAAAAGTATCCAAGTCCTGAAGCAATTACATTTGCGAAGTGTGTTCTCAGGAAAGCGATAAAGTCGGTGTGATTGTTGTACAATGTTGCCGTTGCATGCCGATAGTTATAAGGCGATTCTTGAGGTGGACGAAAGTCCGGCATTTCCAAACACCATTCGAGTCCTGGCCGATTGGCTACTTCTGAAAGATAACATTATCCTCGTCCAGAGATAGGTTGGTGGTTGCGATCGAAGATTGTAGAACTGGTATCAAAATATCCATTAATATGCATAGGTGAACCATTAGCGGTTTTCACTGTTGCATTACCTTGGCTAAGAGTCGGTGAGCCGACCTCTCTCCATGATCTACTCTAGTGTCGAGTCGCAGACAAGTAAGTTATGGGCACCTTCATGCAGGTACGCGCATCACGAGCAGTAATGGTTACATTCTTGAAACGGAGGTTCCGCTTCATTGTTCTTTTCCTGTGGATTGACAAATTTCTGCGATTTCGTTTATTCGGAATAGGCTCTTGATTTTCACAGAAAGAACGATTTCTGAAACTCACTTGCTCTAGACAGTGTTGTTCCTTCACTGGTTTTAGCCGATAAGCTGCCTTTATCTCTTTCGTCTCCATTGTTCAATTATCCAAGGTAACGAAGGTTTCGCATTCACTGATGAAGTTTTCGAGAACTAGGAGAGAGTCACTTTCCTTGAGACGCTTCATTTGTTCAGTGGCCGAAGTCGCATTTCTAGACGTGATGCTTCTGTGAAACCAGAAACGAAAACGAGACATTCTTCATGCAGGCCTCCTCGAAATTTATCTTAATTGTATTGCCAAACTCAGACATGGCATGTATGTTCCGGACATCGGAGGGCAAGAAGATTGCAGGAATTTAAATCGTCGAATAATCAAAGTTTTCTTTGGTCCAAAAGTCTAAATAGTTTTGTCAGCGTCTTGACAGTAGTGGGTAAATTAACGTCTTGCAGCTTCAACGGTAAGACGTGTTTCGAATACGTCTTGTATGTTGCTTTATCTAGCTTATCGATGATAAGGTCTCGCTCACGGTCATCGGAGATTGAAGATCCTCAATCATCGATCACTGGTCCATAGCATTTGTACCATGCAACAAACGTGGAATCGCCGTCCTCATCGTAGTTCAAAAACGGCAAGTCCCACCGTTCGCATCAGGAGATTGCTGTTCTTAGCTGATTGCTCCGGTCCTAGCTTCTGCTCTACAAGCACAACTAGCAGTTGCTGCATCTGCTGTTGGAGTGCATGGTTTTGCCGTTGGACCTGTTGGCTCTGCTGTTGGACCTGTTGATTCTGTTGTTGAAAAACAGCACAAAAGTGAGTAATTCACGGTGGTACATCCTTTGATGTACCTTTAGCATCGCTTGGCATGTCATGATTCATCTCATCCTGATCGCTAGTGTTACAGCTTCGAGGTGAAGCGCTCTATTGAGCATGAGATGGCAATTAACATGCACATCGCAGAATTATGCTTTTATAGACGAGTCACACAGCTACACAGTGCGAACGTATAGACAATGTAGTTTATCACTAGCCAAGCCCATGACAGTTGGCATGCGACCGCTGAGTGTTGTTCTGCAACAGAGGTATCAAAAGAAATGTTGTCAAGTCCTCGAAGTGGGCGAGGTTCGCACTAAGTGGGCGGACCTGACGTCAAAAAATAATGATTCTGCTCAAAAACGTTCTGAAATCCGAAAACAAGTGCATAGGGCTGTCGCAGGAAGGATGGAAGTGGATGGGTCCTGCACCAAGATTGGCAGTGCTAAGAGCGAAAAATCGCAATGCCGTGCAGAAACGTTCTGGAACGCGTGAAAAAGTCATTAGATGATACAGAGGGGATACGATCAGATCCAAAAAGTGGGCGGGGTTTGCAGTGAGGTGGGTGGGGCTATAGTCAGATTTCAGTTCAGAAACGTTCTAAAACGCGGAAAAAGTTGTTAGATGTAATGGATGAAATATAGTTGAATCTTCAAAGTGGATGGGTTTGCTCCCGGCTGGGCGGAGCTGAGATCAAAAATTCATAAATCTGTTCAGAAGGTTTATAACGCGGGAGAAATTGGTTAGACTTATTAGAAAAAATGTGGTCAAATCCGAAGTGGGCGGCGACTGAGCTAAGGTGAGTGGGGATAGGTTCAAGAATCAGTAACTTCACTCAAAAGCGTTATAGAATCCAAAAAAGTGCTCAGAGGTTTTTGTAGGAAGGATGGCAAGACCTGAAAGTGGGGGCGTTGCGCAGAGGCGCACGGTGCTAATATCAAAAATTCACAACTCCGAACGAAGACATCCTCAACGTTAAAAAATCTTGATTTACATGAAGTCACCATCGTTACCTACAGCCTATGGATTCATTACAGTCACAATATATATGTACACATATATATACATATATATAGTTTGGTCTTCTTAAAACCTTAGCATGTCACATAGTGCTCCAACCCTGCTATGCCGTACAGGTTTGTTATGACAGATCCGCTTTATTAGTTCGAATTTTCGAATAGCTGGACGTATTCAAGGACCCGGAAGTAGTTATTGATGTGTTACCCACCCAACCAAGCGCTCATACGCGCTAGGCTAGCTACAACAACTCCCAGAGACTCAAACACCGAAAGATCCCGGTCAACAAACTAACCATCTGGGATTTCGCCACTGTTGCCATCCCACTCGATTCCGTGAACAACAAGAGACAAATGAGACGCCATCGACGGTCATGAGATAAGAAGTACAAGGTGATCACAACGCCCGCAAAAAAATGAATGGCAGAATTGTCATGACAGTGCACTCATTTCTGTTTTTCAACTCAGGATCCCTCTCGCATATGTGCAATGCTTCCAATATTCTTTTTCCGCCCCGATCTCCTCCTCGGTGATACCTGATGGATACGAATCAACTTAGGGATGACTGGAATTTTAGGCACGATCAGTAGAGCACTTATGAGCTTATGAGAACCTACTTGTAGGAGGGCGGAACATCCACACGATCGAGCGATGCAGTGAGAAAAACTTCAGTTTCGCTCCGAAAGGTCACACACCGGGAAGATGGGAAGGCTAGGAATATCTCAACAAATCGGACGAGGGATGCTCATCCGCAATGAGCGGAGCAATATCTAATATTCAGCAGTAACTCATAAACATCCACAACCTACAGACGGATTTCCAGGGGGAAGCTCAGATCGAAAAACCCATCTTTGTTTGACGCATTCTTTCTTTTAACGCACTGAAAACCCAAAGTAGTAATTTATAGACCCATACCGCTCACTTTCAGCTTTCTACCTCTGCTTTCCAATGGGACGATAAATAGTACGTGATTCTTAATGATTGGACTTATCAACATGCTAGCTCCATATTGCCTTCCACGCTAAGCCTTCGATTGATAGAATACCGAAGTTTTTCGAATTCTACTTCCCTTTTAGTGTCCTTTGCTCTAGGGCACTCGATCGATAAACGTCTGAAGAGCAGGCTTATTTCTGTATTTTTCCGAGTGCTTGACATACTTTGTCCGATATTAAGCTGCACTACTATTTAGTCAATTGATACGGCCAACTATCTATCAATGAATAATCAGTGACCTACGAAATGCAACAGTGTAACCGGTTAAACATTTTGACAAATGATTACGCATGAGTTTTTGACTTTCACAGAACCTTTCAAGAGTATGCAGTTATTTGCAAACAGCTGCTGTTCCATCTAGTTTTTCGAGTAATTCGCGTGAGCACGAGACATCCCCAAGATTTCGTTGGCCTTCCCGCCACACCTACGAGGAAGCTGTCACAGCCATCCATCAAGATTAAATTATGCTGATGCATAGGCCACAATACAAAAGCAGTCGTTTGCTGGCATAGAGGTCGTCGTCGTGGTTGCCACCATAGCCACTAGGCTACTCGCCGACCATAATCGTGGCTGCTCAAGTCAACCCGTCCTGACCCCCCTCCCTTTTGCCCTATTTTATCCTATGTTAGTATGATCCTACACTATTGTATGTTAGTATGTATAATAAATGTGCAAAATATAGATAAAGATATACAGTTGCGGTCAAATGTCCTCGGTGAAACGCCTTTCAATTGTTACTTTTTTCCTACTTCATAAGGTCACATGTGGTTTCAGTATATCAATCGAAGGCATATTTGGATACTTACCGCTGACTGACCTAAGAGAAATCGCTTTATTTCGGAATAGCAACATGTAAAACACCAAAAACATCGATATTTGATAAGAAAGCCTCGACTTTTCATGTCAGCATTCCAATGAGAAGGCAGCAAGTCGGTTAGTTTTCGGATGGTGAACATTGGATTGGCGTTCCCTCTGTCGCTCATTCGGCAAATTGTTCTTCACTTTTTCAACAAAGTTTAAACAAACAGAACCTTTTGAGCTATTCCCGCATGAGCTCTATTAGATTCTGGTCCGATGACCGGCTTGGCCTTCCCAGAAGTCTGGTTCGCCGTTCGCTGGAGGCCGCTTTTACAACCATTGAGGTTAGTTTCGGATCATTATTCTGCTGAAGGATCTATCCTGCTGGTATGCGATGCTGTGCTTACGGTAACACGATGTCGACCGTCACACCCGCACCGTTCGAGGAGGAAGCACCGTATACCGACCATGTTTGGTTGTGGGTAGGGTGTACTCTGGATTGAACCTTGCCTCAGATGGACGTCATCCGTACAGCATACCATCGCCTCCGAACTTTTGAGCTCGCTCCTATCTGTAAAAAGAAGTCTGATACAGTCAGTCGAAGTTCAGTTGAGATGACGGCGCGCAAACTCCACTCTAGCTCTCCCATTTTTTGAACTGTTGTACAACTTTCCCATGAATACCAGCATTGTTTGGGCGTATTCCCACAGTACGCCTACTACATCTTCCCACAGTGCCATCGGTCGCACTGAAGCGAGAGTCAGCTCTCGACCGAAGAGTAACTCGTTTGTCCTGGGCTCATGAAGTACAACGGGGTCTTCCCATTCTCTCAGCATTGCAGTAATTCTGTTCTGGAACTGCGCTGGATAGTCGAAGAACTCGTCTGCTAAGGGTCCTTCAAAATTCTTGAAATGATTTTCATGCCTGATTAATTCATAACTACTGCTGCCTGCCGAACTCCCTAGCGACTACTGTCCTATGCGTGCCTTGAGTGTATAAGTACCAACATCAAGCACAAATGGGATGCAAAAAATGCAGTTATAGTTATAGTTTAATGCAACCGCGCATTCAGTAAAAATCGCTTCAGCAGTAGAACCTCTGCGCGTAGTCACCTGATCACCCAGTTCTGAAGCCAAAAAGTTTACACTGGTTTGGTTCAACGTAAGGTTTTACATATCAAAACTTTCCTTGATTCCCTTTACTGGAAAAAAATTACGATTGGGAAAGCGTTGCACCGGGGACTTTTGACCGCTACTCTATGTCTATACAGGGGCATCCGCTACACACTCAGGTATGGGTGAGTCTATATACTTCCAC